AATAAAAAAACAATTGCTATTTATAAAAGTTAAATAAATTTTAATATAAGTTTTGAAAAAAAGAATTATTCAATATCTCAAAATTTTTACTAGGGTAACCACCTATTGCGTTACTAATAAAAAATGTTCCTCTCGTAATTTTACCCTAACCCTAACCTTAATTCTAACTCTAATTATAACTTTATTTTATCCTAACAATTTATTTATTGGCTACTAAATATAACATTATATTTATTAAATTTTAGATAACTATTAGATAAATTTTATTTATAATTATATCTATGTATAAATTATAGCTATGTAAGTCTGCATTGGGTTTATAGATCTATGTATAATTTTTAAATAAAATATACATAAAATATTTACATAGTGATGAAGTAAATCGATTTGCAAGATACCTTCTTTGTTAAGACAAAAAGTTTGTTCTTGTGTAATATTTTACGATAGGATTTTTTTCATCTGTACTGAGCTATGTTACCTGAAAAATATGCAATAATCAAAATTGGGGTTGCATAAGATCAGTATAATAATATGGGTGACGATAAAAAGTGTAATTACCTAACTATTATTTACCAAATATTTTCTCGGAATAAAATATTCTATTTTAAAAAACCATATATATCATATATATATATATATTGTGATTGGAATTGTCCCGATTCAGAATCGGGCCACCCCAGATGAGAATTTTGTAAATTATTTTTGCAGAATTAGGATTTTAGGGTTAGGGCTATAATTGATGTTAGGGTTAGGTTTAGGTTTAAATAAAAAATTTTATTTTTGGTGAATAAAAATTACAATATTCTCATCCGGGACCGTCCTTATTCTGAATCGGGTACAATATATATTAAATAGTATATTTAAATAATAAATATATATTTACTATATTTTTAAATCATTTATTTAACATATATAATATAGTGAACATTTAATCTGTATGTTTGACAAATTAACAATTCATATTCGTACTAATGCGTATTAAAAGTTGTAATTTTAAGCGTTTAAAATTTCATTAACTAAAACTAGCCCTAAAGATGCAAGCTAAAACAGCTTCAGACAAATGACAACTTTAAATACGATATGTCCATGCGTTGAAAACAAAACTGATTCTGCATTAGAACTAGCCCTAATACGTAGCTGGGCGAATATCGCACGTAATGTTTTCGCAAGTACAAACACCCCAAGGAATAAATTTTAGTTGCGTACGATTCATAAGGTACTTTATTTATTACTTCATTTATGACTCAAGCGGGTATTCTTTATTAGTTTAGCTGTTATATTTATGTATTGCAAAATAGCCATGGTCGGGAACCATGATCTGTGGTCTCGAATCAAGATCTAGGGCTCCAAACCAAGATTCATGGTCCTAAATCAATGTCTGTGGTTCTAAACCATGCACAGCTATTCCATAATAATAACACTGACAAATATAGTAAGAGACACTAATACGTAAAATATAGAAAAATATAACAAAGAAAATTTAAGCACAAAATTATCGTAACACCGGTGCTTATTTGTAACGCCAATTGATTGGTCTCATCCCAGCATTTAAGTTTCGTATTGTTGCATTAAGAATTGACCCAAGTCATTTCTAAATCAGTAGAAATTTAGAAATGACATAGGTCAATTCAAATTCGTCCTAAATACTGAAATAGTGAACTGACGTCGAACATTAATACTGTTTATATTTCTGAGGTATAGACTAAAAATGTGAAAACTATAAAAATATAAATTGTAAATTGAGGAAAGAAATTAAACATTAAAGGAACTACACGTGTTCGGAGGAATGTACTAATAATATCACTGCCACCCAACATTTTCGTAACAAAACCAGTACCTGAAACAACATTTTTACCGACGGGATATCGTTCTTGTTCATAACTATCAAAAATTTTATTAACGTCAACTGCCTGGTTCCGAATAGCTAGAACCAATTTGAATGCTAAGTTATGAGCGTCCTGAATTCCTAAATTCATGTCTTGACCTCCAAATGGCGAATGACAGTGAGCAGCATCTTTTTTTTTTTTATTAGAAATATATATATATATAATAAATATTACATTATTCTGTTATTGATGATTAATATAATTGCTGTATTAAAATAGTAGAAATTTATTACCTCCAGCTACAAATGCGCGACCTGTTCGATATCTATTTACAATCCTTTGATTAATCCTGAAATTGGAAAGCCATACAGGATTTTTTAGTTCCATTTTAATTGGAGCAATTCTTTCATCAATTAATTTCTGCAGTTCATCAATAACAGAATAATGTAAT